TTTCTTCTCTTAATATTTAAGAACCAAGCTGAATCATGTTCCGGCTTTTGACCGCCTGCTGGTCTCGACTAAAGACACCAGAAGAGACACGAAGGTAATATTACAATTATTTCCCTAGGCCTACTCCATTATTTCCTCCCACAAATCTGTCCATAGTCCCTCAAGGGACAAATCTTCATAATATATGTTGTTAGGTGAAGTGATTAAGCAGTTTTTGTAAGATTGGAGGCAGGGTTGAGGAGGGATGGCCAATTGCACAAGGTTAAGTAAATCAAGGAAGAAAAGCATCCTTGGGGGCTTTGCTGAGGGGCTCCATACCATCCATACCACCTTCTACTGCTTTGGCTAGGCCTTTTATGGTACATGCATTGGGATTACTGCAGGTCAGAATCCCAGACACTAAGGAAGAGTATAACTCTATGTTTAGCTTAAAACCTAACTGTTGTTTTAAGACTTTGGCTCATTTTTCTTTTTTCATTTCTAGGAATGTGACCATACCTATCATTGGCTTGGACAACTCAGGCAAAACTCTTCTCGTGGAGACATTCCAAAAATGTAAGGAACCAAGAGCATTAGACACTGGTGTGGGTATCCCATGCACTCCAGAATCCAGTTAATAATCATTCCTTCCCAGCATTACTTCATGGCCCTCAGTTTCCCTCTTTTTGTGGATAAACACCTCCCAACACACACACTCGAGAGTCTCTCTCCCTCCCTCCCTTCCCCACGTTACAAAAACAGCCTGTTTATGTAATGTCTGTCACCTGCTCCCTTTACAAGATATCCTAATTGAAAGTCCTTTCATAGGGTAGGCACACATGAGTTAAAACTATGTAAAGCATTACAGTCAGTTATGAAGGATAGCATGTTTGAAATGATGTCTAGTTTCAGGGCTCAACTAAAGTGCAATTTGATCTAGATAAGAGAGACAAGTGTGGGATGATGAAGTTTAATAACAGGAAATTCTGTGACAGCTAATATACAGAGTTGGAGCTTGAGAAATGTTGTCAGTTCCGATATGTGCAAGTTTAATACCAGATCTCTAGTTTAGTATCTTGACATTTCAAGAAGCAGTTACAGAGAATTTCAGAAAGCTACTATACTACTTGTTAAGGAGCAATCAAAGAAGCCAGTACTATCTGTCACAGGATGCCCTCCACCCATGTTTATTGAATAAATGAAGTAGTATGATGACATGGTTGAGTTTTATCTAACCTGGCATCCTCGAACAAAAAGGGCTAACCTGACTCCTCTGCCACTGACCTACCTGAACTCCTCATCAATTTCCTTAAACTATAGCAACAGCCTTCTGGCTGATCTTGTCATCTCCAGTTGTCCCCCCAGTATTCAATCCACATAGCTACCAGAAGGACTTAATATAAAAGTCTGATCATGGCACTTCCCTGCTCAAAACTGTTCAATGCCATTATCTTCAAGATAAAACTTAAGTTTCTTAGCAGCACACAAAGCCCTCTCTGAGTTGGTCCCTGAGTCTTCCTCCAGCTTCATTTCTCATGCTCTCTGCACATGCCCTCTAATAAAGCCACAACAAATTACTTGCCATCCCCCTTTCCTAGGTCTGTACATATTGTCCCACTACTTAGCATTTTACCTCCACCATGATCTACCTGCTAAATCAGAAGCCTCAAGTCACAGCACAGCTGGACGTCAGGAAAGCCTTCACTATCAGTGCCCTCCTTCAGCTCCCACTCTATTCCACGCATCACTCTGGCACGCACTTATTACAACATCATCAGGCAACTGCAAGTCCATCCCCTAAATTGTGAGCCTCTTGAGGAGAAATAATGGATCTTTTCCTCTCTGTATCTTTAGCCTGTGACTTTTTAGCATTTTCAGGTAGGTATTCAATAAGTATTCATGGAATGGATATTCTGCCCATTCCACCATTCACCTGATACAACATGTTGCCATTTTCTTTTCTATTCTTTATTCTTTTTTTTTTTACCCATTTATTTATTTTATTGCATTTTAGGTTTTGGGGTACATGTGGAGAACATGCAAGATTGTTGCCTAGGTACACACGTGGCAGTGTGATTTGCTGCCTTCCTCCCCATCACCTACATCTGGCATCTCTCCCCTTGCTATCTCTCCCCAACTCCCTACCCCCCACCGTCCCTCCCCTATTTCCCCCCAACTGACCCTCTGTGTAGTGCTCCCCTCCCTGTGTCCATGTGTTCTCATTGTTCAACACCCGCCTATGAGTGAGAACATGCAGTGTTTGATCTTCTGCTCTTCTGTCAGTTTGCTGAGAATGATGGTTTCCAGGTTCATCCATGTCCCTACAAAGGACACAAACTCATCGGATGGAGTCTTGCTCTGTTGCCCAGGCTGGAGTGCAGTGACACAATCTCAGCTCACTGCAACCTCTGCCTCCCAAGTTCAAGTGATTCTGTGAATCTGAATGCCTCAGCCTCCCAAGTAGCTGGGATTACAGGTGTGCACCACCACACCTGGCTAACTTTTTGGATTTTAGTAAAGATGGGGTTTCACCATGTTGGCAGGGCTGGTCTTGAACTCCTGGCCTCAAACAATCTTCCTGCCTCAGCTTCCCAAAGTGCTGGAATTACGGGTGTGAGCCACTGTGCCTGGCAACATGTTGCCATTTTCTATAACAACTTCCTCTGTCCCATTAGCGGCTCCAAGCCTCATATTTTAACCAATGGGTTCAGCCTTGTATTCCCGCTTGTAGGAAACAAACTTAACTCCTTGCTTCACCCTATTCTCTAATAGGCAGAAATATTTAAGAAGTTAAATAGCAGTAGGAAAAATCCAGGAGCCAGGAAGAATCACAAGATTATTGAAAACAGTGGGGATAATTTTCTAGAACCCCAACTCAACCTCGCCCCTGGATTCCCTTTAGTCCGGGTATGCCGTAGGAATCTATATTTTAAGACTTCCCACTGGGTGCAGTGGCACGTGCCTGTTGTCCCAGCTACTTGGGAGGCTGAGGTGGGAAGATCCCTTGAGCCCAGGAGTTCTGGGCTGTAGTGCACTATGCCGACCGGGTGTCCGCACTAAGTTCAGCATCAATATGGTGACCTCCCGGGAGCAGGGGACAACCAGGTTACCTAAGGAGGGGTGAACGGGCCCAGGTCAGAAATGGAGCAGGTCAAAACTCCCGTGCTGATCAGTAGTCGGATCGCCCCTGTGAATAGCCACTGCACTCCAGCCTGGGCAACATAAGGAGACCCCATCTCTTAAAAAAAAAAAAAAAAGTAGAATTCCCCAGGGGTTTCTGATGGCCAGCCAGCTTTTGGAAGCACTCACCTGGAATTAATGGTATGCTATTTTGCCTGTGAGAATAGTGTCTGTTTCCCATTTTAATTCCTAGAGGACACTGCCTAGAGTCTATTTACTTTGTTACTGCATAATTTGCCTTGTGCTCAGTGAATACCTGGGGAGTGATTCATAAATCTATTGGTTGTGACTACATTCACAGGGAATTTTTTAATGGGCATGGATATCACATTCTGAAGAATGTCTCAGGCCACTTCTGTCTATGCAGGACCACCAGAATCAATCTAATAGGTTCCTCTGTGTCCAAAATTGAATAATTCACCTCCCTTGTCCCTGTGAGTTTTGTTGTTGTTGTTTGGTTTTGGGTTTTGTTTTGTTTTGAGACGGAGTTTCACTATTGTTGCCCAGGCTAGAGTGCAATGGCGCAATCTCGCCCCCCTGCAACCTTAGCCTCCTGGGTTCAAACAATTCTTCTGCCTCAGCCTCCCAAGTAAGTGGGATTACAGGCCTGTGCCACCATGCCTGGCTAATTTTTGTATTTTTAGTCGAGATGTGATCTCAACATGTTGGCCAGGCTGGTCTCAAACGCCTGTCCTCAAGTGATCTGCCTGCCTTGGCTTCCCAGAGTGCTGGGATTACAGGCATGAACCGTGCCCAGCCGTATCCTACTCTTTGTCTCCACGAGTTCAATTATTTTACTCTATGGCTTCCATGAATGAGTGAGAACATGTGAAATTTATCTTTCTGTGCCATAAAATATCTTTCTGTTAACATAATGTACTTGTTCTGTCTGTGTTGCTGCAAATGACAAGATCTTATTCTTTTTTATGGCTAAATTTTATGTATCCATTGTGTATATGTACTACATTTTCTTTATCCATTCATCTGTTGATGGACACTTAGGTTGCTTCCAAATCTGGGCTATTGTGAACAGTGCTGCAATAAACATAGGACACCAGATAGCTCTTTGACATACTGATTTCCTTTCTTTTGCATATATATACAGCAAGTGGATTGCTACATCACATGGTAGTTCTATGTTGTTTCTTGAGGAATCTTCATAGTGGAACATAATTTATCTTCCCACCAACAGTGTATGAGGGTCCCCCTTTCTCCACAGCCTTCCCAGAATGATCAATGTGCTGAGGAGAAGAATGCATATCCTGCATTCATTGGATGAAATGTTCTATAAATATCTATTAGGTCCATTTGCTCTATATTGCAGATTAGGTACAATGTTTCATTGCTGATCTGTATAATCTGTCCAATGTTGAAAGTGGGGTGCTGGAATCTCCAATTATTACTGTATTGGGGTCTATCTCTCTCTCTTTAGCTCTAACAACATTTGCTTTGTATATCTGGATGCTCCAGTGTTGGGTGCATATATATTTATTATTTTTATATACACTTGCTGAAGTGATTCCCTTATCATTATATAATGACATGCTTTGTCTCTTTTTATAGTTTTTGTCTTGAAATCTGTTTTGTCTGAAGTATAGCTACTCCTGCTCTTTTGGGTTTCCATTTGCATGGGATATAATTTTATAACCCTTTCAGTCTATATGTGTCTTTGTAGATGAAGTGTGTTTCTTGTAGGAAACAGATTGTGGTTTTTTGTTTGTGATTTTTTTCCACTCATTCACCCTATGTCTTTTGATTGGAGAGTTTAGTCTATCTACATTCAATGTTATTATTAATAAGGACTTACTGCCATTTTGTTATTTGCTTTCTGGTTGATCTGTGGTCTTTTCCTTCCTTCCTGTCTTCCTTTTTGTGAAAGTGATTTTCTCTGGTAGTATGTTTTGAGTTATTGCTTTATATTTTTGTGTATCAGTTGTAGGTTTTTTGATTTGAAGTTACCATGAGGCTTGCAAATAACATCTTATAACCCATTATTTTATTTTATTTTAATATTCATCCACTGCCACCTGGAAACCCCATTATTTTAAACTGATGACAACTGTGATTGCAAAAACAAGAAAAAACTAATATTAATTGTACACTTTAACTTCATCCCCTCTGCTTTTTAACTTTTCATTGTTTCTACTTGTATCTTATTATACTGTCTTTAAAAGTTGCTATAGTTGTTACTTTTGATAAGCTCATCTTTTAGTCTTCATACTCAAGCTATGAGTACTTTACATACCACAATTACAGGGTTATAACAATGCTCTGTATTTGTCTGTGTGACTTACTGTTACCAGTGAGTTTTATACCTTCAGGTGATTTCTTTTTTTTCTTTTTTTTTTTTTTTTT